GAAAACGAGAGGGCAGTTTAAGTGAGAGCGAGGATGCTATGTCATACGAGTCACAACCTCAAACTCCCACAACTCCAGGAGATTACCATCCTAACTTCTCATCAGAGTTAGTTCCTGAAATAAATCCTGTAGCATTGACTGAACGGTATGTGGGAAGTTGTAGTAGTCAAGAGGTAGCATCAGCATGGGAACTCAGTGGTACCGATGGACCATCAAGAGCCAAAGAACCTCTCAAGCCTTCATCCAGTCTTCCTGATGTTCAAGGATATACAAGGTGAGAAATTCATGTTAGAATTTTCTTTTTTCCATGATGGTCTACACATTTCCAATATTAAAATGTTGCTAGATTTTTCGTTCTTATTTGTTTATCTTGTTTTTGTCATCAGTGTAGTTAATATTGTCCAGAATATTTATCATGGATATTGTATACACATTTGACCCTTTCACTGTCCACCACATAGATATATGTTGTTGATGCCCGGGTCCCCTCACATAGATCAACATCTAAAACTTAGCCCTCCCAGATTAGCTGAGCCTGGTAAATTTTGGCCCTGATAAGAGAGAATGGGTTTATATGGTGATTGCACAGCATAAAAAAAAATCCTGCACTACGCAGTGCATAATGGGAAAAGCAAAACTCTGACCTTGTGATTTGGTTTAAAATTGTGGGATTTTACTATATAAGGTATGTTGCACTTATCTTCAAGTGACAGTTCAAGAACACCAGCAGTTGCAGCCAGGGTTCTCCTTCAGTATGTCAGCTATCTATGTCCCAAAGGGCTGTAATAGAGCAATTATGAACAGGGTTAACACTTTCCCTGATGACCTATGTTCTCCAATATTTCAGGTATGTCACCTGGAAAGTTGTGGGCAAGTCTTGCTTGTGTTTGGGTAATTGCCCTCGTGTCACAGCATCACTATAGTTAACCTTGTCAATCCCTTATCAGTACTTATTTACTACAGTAAACTACAGCAAAATATGACCTTTGATAGGACTTACCTGGGTGTTTGTATCATACCCATTTAACACTTTGTGTCTTGACACCAGTATTGATGACTTGATTGCAGCTAATATGATTCTACTCTACCCTTGTCACTAGTCACAGTGAATGATTGTTTATTAACACGGGGATAGTTTGTTGTACACACTAGTGTTCGTTCACTAAATATGTTCAACATGCCATGTATCTTTCGAGTTATTTCAGTGTCACTCGAATTGCCATCACTTTTTTGTGAGAGTCACTCATCGACGATAATATGTCCACATTTAACCCTTTCAGGGTGGGTCTTGTTGTACTATGGCTTTGAAACGCGGGTCAGTCCCGTTATTCTACATGAGCTCAGCTTTCTCAGATAAGCTGTAATGGGTCTATGTGAAATGTGCTGCATATAAAAATGTCCTGCAGTATACAATGCATAATGAGAAAAAACTGTGACTGTGATTTTTGGTTTAAAAATAGCAACTTTGCAGTGTATTTTCAGATGTATTTTATGATTGTATTCTTGTTTCTTGGTCTCACTTGATAGAACGGAAGATATATTACATATAAGAATAGAGATGATTTTGATTGTTTTCAGGACAAAGTACCTTGAATTTGAGCTCAAAGTAGCAGAAATGTTCAAGTTTTGCCAATATTTCCAGGTACATGAATGACATCACTCGTCCAATACGTGTCCATCTGGACAGTCTAATATGCATTTAGGAATGCACCAAGTGAATGAGTTTGGTAGACTGGGACAATGGAATTAGCCAAAAATAAATTCAAATTCAAATATTTATTTCTTTGTAAAGCTTACAATGTGTGGTTTACATGCTGTAAGATTTTAATTACAAAGATGGCCACTATCATGCCTAGGCACTTCGGGGCTCAAAGTGGACAAAATTGTCAATACTAACTTAATGAGAGTGTAATTCCATAAGTTTTCCATCAAATTTCGTACTTTTGGTTTCATTACCTTCAGAAAAAGATTCTCTATCATTTCATAAGTAATTTTTTCTTTTTTTTTTTTGTCTCTGACCCTGAGAACAGGTTTCATATCAGTGATTCAGACCCTGAGAAGGTTAATGTTCTTGATGGGAAGAATGCTAGTGATATCTCACTTAGAATTTCAACACTGTATCTTTGCGTCAGCTCTCCATAATGATTGTTCAAGTAAGAATAAGCAACATGGCGATTACACAGTCGTTCACAAATGACATTGTGTGATCGTAGGTAGTTCTGCCGTGGTGCTTGCTCACTCAGATTGATCTTGCATACTAGAAACATACAGACAAGACAGACCCTGCGGCATTATCCACGTCTCCATATATTGGCGTAATAATGCTGACATTATGTCTGAAAAGCATGGATACCAGCCAACACTACGTGTATGAGTCAAGGAACTGATTTCCCTGGTTCTGATGCATTTCATGTTAAATGAGTCTTACTAGCTAAATACAGCCTCTCCTCACTTAACGATGGAGATAGGGGCCTAAGAACCCCTTGGTAAACAATTTTGTCGCTAATCGAGGAATCACGCCTTACTGTCACTTCAAAAGTGTTACCACCCAAAATTAACACATTCAGTTTTATGTTTGCTAGGAAATTTCTTTCAATCTATTTATTATTAATCATAATACAACATGAACTAGGTCAATGACTTACTTCCGAGATATTCCAGGAAACGCATGCATAGCTGATTACTTGGGAATTTTTTTTTTTTTCGAGAAAATCTCACTTTTTTCAGTCTTTGCATAGGATAAGAGTGATCTTCTGTAGTTACCCTTTGGGTACATAATGTTTTCTTGGTCACTTTTTCTTTTATCTCTCTCCGCCCTCCACCTCTCTGTATAATGTCAATTTTTATTAATTTGGGCATCTTTATCATGCTTCTACATTATTTATGTTTTACTTAATATTATTCTTGATAGGTAGATAACATTTATTAATAGTAATAGTATAATTATATAATATTTTATAGTGGGGTGAAGTGTCATGGGGAATCATGAGTTACTGACACACTGCTCCTTCTCCCTCTGCTGTAGCTCTACCCACTTTGTAATGATGCCAAATGGTGAATTAAATATGTATATTAGAAAAAAAATAAAATAAAAGTGAAATTCCAACTTGATAACTTTATTTTAATTTGCATAACCCTTATATATTACAGAACACAATTAAAAAGTAAAATACACATATAACGAATTAAGCTTACAGAAAATACATTAAACTCACTATCTAACATTTTTACGAAGTGGGAGGAGCTAAATGAGAGACGGAGAGGTGAGCAGTAGCATTCAGTATCTGGCGAGTCATCATGGGTGTTGGATGTATGTGTGGCACTAATAAAATGTTATGTAATTTCACTGATATTACTAATAAAGGTTATCTATTACATTTATTCCAGATTGATATCAGAAACACGATAAATACACTAGAACTGTAATAATGACTGAAATGAATAATATATGGTTTATTATGTGAGTGAGGTAAGGGCGGAGGCCACCACTTTGGGATAAGATCATAAGCTAGATAAGTTATCTCGTCTGTACCTCTGGTCTATAACAAAAGAAAATAGTGTTTACATCAGGGGAAACACTCCTAGATCACTCTTATCATAAGAAAAAATGCAAATAGAATTTATTATTATTATTGTTATTTATTATTATTATTATTATTTATTATTATTATTTTAGAGAGGGTGTGGTAGGTAAGTCTGGGGTGCCAGGTGTAAATGATAATGGGAGCCCTTTGATTGAACTTTGTATAGAAAGGGGTTTAGTTATACGTAATACATATTTTAAGAAAAATTTATTTTATTATCACACTGGCCGATTCCCACCAAGGCAGGGTGGCCTGAAAAAGAAAAACTTTCACCATCATTCACTCCATCACTGTCTTGCCAGAAGGGTGCTTTACACTACAGTTTTTAAACTGCAACATTAACACCCCTCCTTCAGAGTGCAGACACTGTACTTCCCATCTCCAGGACTCAAGTCCGGCCTGCCGGTTTCCCTGAATCCCTTCATAAATGTTACTTTGCTCACACTCCAACAGCACGTCAAGTATTAAAAACGATTCGTCTCCATTCACTCCTATCAAACACGCTCACGCACGCCTGCTGGAAGTCCAAGCCCCTCGGACACAAAAACCTCCTGTATATATATACTGTACAACCAAAACAGTAAAAGGGTTAAAGTGCAGGCATTCTACTTCCCATTTCCAGAACTCAACTCCGGCTATATAAAAATAACGGGTTTCCCTGAATCCCTCCACTAAATATTACCCTGCTCACACTCCAACAGCTCGTCAGGTCCCAAAAACCATTCGTCTCCATTCACTCCTATCTAACACACTCTTGCACGCTTCCAGGAAGTCCAAGCCCCTGGCCCACAAAACCTTCTTTACCCCCTCCTTCCAACCTTTTCTAGGACAGCCCCTACCCCACCTTTCTTTCCCTACAGATTTATATGCTATCCATGTCATTCCTTTGATCCATTCTCTGTAAATGACCAAACCACCTCAACAACCCCTCTTCAGCCCTCTGACTAGTACTTTTATTACTCCACACCTTCTCCTAATATCCACACTTTGAATTCTCTGCATAATAGTTACACTACACATTGCTCTTAGACAGGACATCTCCACTGCTTCCAACCACCTCCACACTGCAGCATTTACAACCCAAGCTTCACACTCATATAAGAGTGTTGGTTCCTCTATATTTTCATACATTCCCTTCTTTGCCTCCATTGATAACGTTTTTTGTCTCCACATATACCTCAACGCACCACTCACCTTTTTTCCCTCATCAATACTATGGTTAGCCTCATCTTTCATAAACCCATCCACTGACATATCAACTCCCAAATATCTGAAAACATTCACTTTTTCCATACTCCTCCTCTCCAATGTGATATCCAATTTTTCTTTATCTAAATCATTTGATACCTTCATCACCTTACTCTTATCTATGTTCACTTTCAACTTTATACCTTTACACACCCTCCCAAACTCGTCCACTAACCTTTGCAACTTTTCTTTAGAATCATCCATAAGCACAGTATCATCAGCAAAAGTAACTGTGTCAACTCCCATTTTGTATTTGATTCCCCATAATTTAATTCCACCCCTCTCCCCAACACCTTAACATTTACTTCTTTTACAACCCCATCTATAAATATATTAAACAACCATTGTGACATTACACATCCCTGTCTAAGACCTACTTTTACCGGGAAGCAGTCTCCCTCTCTTCTACGCACCCTAACCTGAGCCTCACTATCCTCATAAA